ATATAAATGAGATAATACGATTAAGAGTTGAAGGAGGAAATATCACCTGAAGCAATGGCAGCTTCCAACATCTCGAGACATCAAGCAAATACTTCACTTTCATATAAGTGTGACTACTAGGTAAATCAATATCCCTCAAAGGATTTGAACACTGAGGGATCCAGTCATCTGTGATCCAGACACGAGCTCCCCTACCAATTTTCCATTTCAGGTAGTGCTTCAAAAGGTCTCTACCCCATAAGATGCCTCTCTAACCCCAGTTGGACCGTGAGCTAGCATTACACGAGAGAAAGTATGTCCGTTAGAAGTATTTTTGCCGAAACACAGTGGCAAAAAGATACTTCTCATTGTTAACCAATTCCCATGCTAATTTTGCTAGGAGGGCTTGATTCATTTCCGTAGCAGATTGTAGACCCCAGCCTCCACGTAGTTTGGATTGACATATGAAACTCCAAGATTTCCAGTGAATATGCCGACCTTGATCTCCGCCCCAAATAAAGCCAGCAATTATCCTGTCAATCTCATGAGACACCCAAAAAGGAAGTTTAAATGATCCCATCACTTAGATAGGTAATGCTGCCAAAGTGTGCTTGGCCAGAACTACTCTTCCAACCATTGATAAGGATTTCGTTTTCTAGGAACTGAATTTGCCCTTCAGCTTAGCTAGGATACTACTAAATAGAGTACTCTTATTATGCATAAAGTCCAAGGACAACCCTAGATACTAACCAGCATGCGAACCAAGTGGAATCCAGAGCCATAAACTCACCAATAGCCTCATATTTAGATGCATATTAGAGCTGACCATAATTGTGGCTTATCAAAATTTATTCGCGGACCTGACTCACGAGCATAACGATCAAGAACCACAGCCAACCGTCGAATATTCATAAGGTTACACTCAAGAAAAAATAAACAGTCATCAGCAAACATTAATTGCGATAAACGGGGAACACCTCTACCCATGTAGATACCTATGCCTCTACCATTAACCTGTATATTATCAACTGCTAAAGACAGAGATTTTTGGCACAAAATAAATAAGTATGGGGAGAGAGGACATCCTTACTTGAGACCTCTGATAGGATGAAAGAAATCAGAGCACCCGCCATTAAAATTGATGGCAAAACGTACTGTAGTGTCACGGAGCGGTCCTTGACACATTAGGAAACCCGTGTGCAAGCAGCACGTTGGATGCTGCTTCCACCAAGACTCACTCGAGCGTCGCACTCAGTAGATGGCAAGGGCTGCACGTCTACCTTTAGAGGACCGAAGAGCACGAGGCAATACTCTACTGCACTTCAAATACAAAGGCTTAGGCAACTTGTGATAGGAATAGGGAAAAGCTTCCCTCAAAGAAAAGCCACTCAAAAAGACCATGGTAGTCTTTTGAAGGGTTTTGTGAACATCTAAAATTACAAGAACGCCATTCTACTTCTACTTCTACTATTTACAAGAATGACAAACACCTATCTATTCTAAGGAGTTTGGCACAAGGTCTTATTCGTATGTAGGTGTTAGAGGTGCTGCATGGTGCTAAAGGGGAAAAAGCCCCCCTTCAACAGTCTTCCCCGCCTGATTTGGCGATGTCCCCAGCACCATAGAGAGATATTGTTCAATCAATGGCCGAAAGGCCTGCAGGTTCTTCTCGAGCTCCCAGGTTTTCTCCGATTCTCCGCGTCTGCACCACTTGATGAGAAACTCCTGCTAGTCTGTGCGCGATCGTCTGACAACCCGATCCGCAAGAATCTCCTCTGCAACTCGCTTCTCCACGGCTTGGATGTTGAGCCCCGGGCGTTGTGATTGGCCCGTTTTGGCTCCTCTTTATCTTCATGAAATGGCTTTAGTAGGCTAACATGCATGACCGGGTGAATCTTCCACCATGAGGGTGGGTCAATCTCATAGACAACCTTTCCATTTTTCTTCAGGATGGTAATAGGGCCGATGTGCTTCTGCAGCAATCGAGGGTCCCTATCACGGATGCTATAGTTTTGGAATTGGCTAGGCAACTTCACCATCACTATGTCTCCAACCTTGAACTCCATGAAGCGTCGGTCTTGGTCGGCATACTTCTTTATGTGTTGGACGGCTTTCTCAAGATGGCTGCGGGTAATGTCCACATTACGTTTCCATTCCCGAGAGAAGTTGACAGCCTGGGGAGATCTCGTTTTACCAACAATTTCAACAGTGTGCGGCAAGAGGGGTTGCTGCCCAGTAACGACCTCGAGTGTGCTCTTTTCAGTCGATGAGCTCTTCTGAGCGTTGAACATAGTTGGGCAACATCCAGCAATTGCGCCCAACTCTTCTGGTTGACCGCTACGAAATGCCGAAGGTATTCCTCCAGTATGCCATTAAAGCGCTCGGTCTCGCCGTCTGACTTGGGGTGTGCCGCAGAGCTCATATTGAGTTTGGACCCGAGGATCTTAAAAAGTTCGGTCCAAAACTTGCCAGTGAACCGTGAATCACGATCACTACCAATATCCCGATGGAGCCCCTAATATTTCACAATGAACTTGAAGAAGAGCTGAGCCGTCTCTTCGGCTCTAACCTATCGGGGTGCCGGGATGAATGTAGCATACTTCAAAAAGTGATCTATTATCACCAAGATGGTCATGAGGCCCCGACCTTTGGTAGTCTGCAAATGAAATTCATCGATAGGCTTTCCCAAGGTCTATTGGGCACTGGAAGAGGCTGCAAGAGCCCACCTTTCTTGTTATGATCTGGCTTATCTTGTTGACAGGTAAGGCACGTGCGAACAAAGTCGTCCACATCATCCGCCATAGATGGCCAGTAGTACCCTCTCTTCACCGACGCCAAGGTCCGTTTAGCTCCAGGGTGTCCCGCTTAAAGGGTATCATGACACTCCTTCATGATCTTTTTGCGCAGTTCGCCAACCCTAGGAACATAGAGACGGTGTTTCTTTGTATAAAGGAGGCCGTCGCTAAGCCAAAAATACTTAGCCCTTCCCTGTTCCACGAGTTGAACCAGGTTCAGTGCGCCCGGATCCACCTTTAGAAGGTCACGGATTTAGTCTTTGATGCCAGTAGAAACTTCATTCCCTGCAAGGCCAACGTATGATGGACTGCAAGTTGTCCCTTTCGACTCAGGGCATCCGCAACCTGGTTGATCTTCCCCGCCCGATACTCCAGGGTGAAATTGAACTTCGCGAGTATCTCTTGCCACCGCGCCTGTCTGCTACTCAACTTCGGCTGGGTCGTGAAATGGCTAACATCAATGTTATCCGTCCTCACCACGAAGGGTGCTCTTAGCAGATAATGTCTCCACACACGCAGGCAGTGCACAACGGCTAGCAGTTCTTTCTCATGGGCAGATTAGAGGTTTTCAGCATCGTTTAGCTTACGTCTCTCATATGCCACCGGGTGGCCTTCCTGCATCAACACTCTGCCTAGAGCAAAGTCTGAGGCATCTGTGTGCTCTTCGAAAGTTTTTAACATGTTGGGCAATGCAAGTACAGGGTCAATGGACATGCCCATCTTCATTCGTTTAAACGCCAGTTGACACGAAGGCTCCCAACTCCATGTCTTCCCCTTTTTGAGCAAGTCCGTTAGAGGTAAATCTATCTTGGAATAAGCCTTCACAAAACGTCGATAGTAGTTGGAAAGTCCAAGGAAGGATCGAAGTTCTGTGACACCGCTAGGAGGCTTCTAGTCTGTGATAGCTTGAATTTTCTTGGGATCCATGCAGATTTTGTCAGGCTCAATAATATGTCCTAAGAAATCAATCCTCTACTGAGCAAACAAACACTTTGAGGGTTTGGCATAGAACTCGTGTTCCCGAAGCCTAGCCAGTACACACCTCAAGTGCTCCAGGTGGTCTTCCAGCGTGTTGCTGTAGATCATGATATCTTCCAGGTACACCACCACAAATTGGTCAATGAAGTCCCGTAGTACCTTGTTCATGAGGGTAAAAAAGGTGGTAGGGGCATTAGTGAGCCCGAAGGGCATGACTTGAAACTCAAAGGCCCCGTACCTCGTCACACAAGTAGTTTTATGTTGATCCCCATCCTTGATGCGAACCTGCCAGTATCCCAAGCAAAGGTCAATCTTGGTGTAGAACTTGGCACGACAAAGTTGATCAAAGTAATCAGCCGCGAGCGGGATCGGGTATCTGTTCTTCAGAGTAATCTCTTTGAGTGCCCTATAATCCACGCAAAACCGTAGGGTACCATCTCTCTTCTTTTGGAATAACGCTGGTGCACCATACGGGGATTTTATTGGCACGACGATGCCACCCTCAAGCATCTTGGCTAGTTGCTTGCGGAGCTCCAAAAGGTCAGGTTGAGACATCCGGTAAGGAGCACGAGCAGGTGGCTTTGTCCCCAAGATCAGTTCAATCTCATGGTCCATTTCGCGCTTGGGAGGCAGTCACTTCGGTAGCTGATCCGGCATCACATCTTGGAACTCTTCCAACAACTGCTTCACCAACGGATCCACCGATCCTGAATTTTCCTCAATCTTATCCTAGCAAAGGTAAGCTAGGTAGCTCACCTTGTTCCGCTTCAAGCCCTTGTTGAACTGCAGGGCGGAGATGTTCCCCTGTCCACCCTTTCCCTGCAGTCCCTTGGATCATGCATGATCTGTCCCCCAGGCATTGCCATAAGGATAGATGGCAATTTGGAAAGCCCGCAAGAAGTCCATGCCAATGATGCACTTGAAGTCATCCATCTTCACCACATGGAACTCCGTTTGGGCCGCAAACGATCCCGCCTTCACCTTACAATTCTTGGCTACCCCTATGATGGGCTGAGCCGCTGAATTGATGGCCTTCACTTTTCCCGTGGACTTGGTGAGAACTAAGCCCATCCACTCAACCTCCGTGTGCGAGAGGTAATTGTGAGATGCTCCGATGTCGATCATCGCCCGAATGAACTTTCCATTCACAATGAAGTCGACATATAGCAACCGTCCATCCATCCCACAAACCGGTTGTATATACTCGATCTCTCCACCTCCAAGGCTGTCCACTGGTGCCTCTACGGCTCAGGATACACCTTTTGTCAGTGCCTTCTCCACTGGACTCATGGCATAACAAAAGGATAAGGCACCCATCGCGTCTTCTCCCGCATCTTCCTCTTCTTCAGCCTGCGCCTCCGCTACAAGGTCTCCATGTTGGGACTCAGCATCATTCACAAGCAGGGCATTGATGATCTTCTTCTTGGGACACTCAGCTGCTCGGTGCAGACCGTTGCACAAAAATCATCCTTGTCTCAAGGTAGAACCTTGTGCACTAGAAGAAGCTCTCCATCCATCGTTCTGGCCACCCGAACTACCCCACGAACTGCCTTGTCCACCAGACCCACCTGTGGACTGAGCAGGGGCACGATCTCCTCCGCTCTTGGCAGCACTGAAGCTCGTCTACCCAAACTTGTTACCCCCACTCTTAGGGGCACCGCTGTTGGTCGGCCTCGCATCTTTCTTTGTCCCCACATGGTAATCCACCAACCCTTCTACTTGGACAATGTCTTTAGCTAATCCCACGTCTCCACGGTCACCCGAACTGCTTTGATTTCCACCATCTGGCCACGCCACCATTTGGCAGCATCTCCCATCATATAATCTATTGCGGTATCCACCTTCTCATCCTCCGACTTCGCGTCTGTGGATTTGAAATACCGCTCTAGATTAAAAATGAAGCTCTCCAGTGCTTTGCATTTTGTTCCCCTGTGAACTTAGCAGGTTGAGGGGCTTTGTGTTTCTTCCTAGTGACTCCCCTAGTGGCACCGTTCCCTCCTCCGAGGGGTTGGTTTGCTATGGCTACTATCATTACTCCCACTTGTCTTACGAGGTCCTCAAGTTTTGTATTGAGTTCCCCGACTTTTGACTTCAGTCCCACAATTTTCGCATCCTTATCATTGAGCGTAGAACGAAGCCCTCGGTTTGCCGCATTCTCTTGCTCTAATTCCAGACTTATGTGCGCAATATCATCCTCCGCCTGATTCAACCACTAACTCAGGGGAAAAGCATATTCTCCTTTACCAAACACCTCATCCTGAAGTCCCCTCAGGGCCACTTCGGCTTCCGTCAATCGTTCCATTTGTTCTGAAGAAAGTTTTTCCAACCCCGCTAGTCTTTCCTTGTGTCCCGCCATTGGAACACACCCACTAGCACAAAGCTCAACCTAGGAAGGTCGGGCTCTGATACAAGCTGTCACAGGGCAGTCCTTGACACGTCAGGAAACCCGTGTGGTAAGCAGCACATTGGATGCTTCTTCCGCCAAGACTCACTCGGGCGTCGCACTCAGTAGATGGCAAGGGTTGCACGTCTTTAGAGGACCGAGGAGCACGAGGCAATACTCTACTGCACTTCAAATACAAAGGCTCAAGCAACTTATAAGCAACATCTTGTTTTTCATTAACAAAAGCGGCAAAGATTACAATGAAAACAATGTGCACTCGGGGAGAGGGAAACCAGTTCACTTGCTTGAGGTTCTAGTTCACTACTCCCCCTCAAGGAAGTCTAAAATAAAAATTTCCTATTGATAGGAATAGGGAAAAGTTTCCCTCAAAGAAAAGTCACTCAAAAGACCATGGTGGCCTTTTGAAGGTTTTGTGAACATCTAAAATTACAAGAACGTCATTCCACTTCTACTTCTACTATTTACAAGAACGACAGGGACCTATCTATTACAAGGAGCTTGGCACAAGGTCTTCGTTGTATGTAGGTGTTGAAAGTGCTGCACGGTGCTAACGGGGAAAAAGCCCCCCTTCAACACGCAGTGACGAATTTTAGCACAACATGTATAAAGCTTTTAGGGAATCTCATCCGCCTCATGATGTGTTGAAGAAACTCCCAAGACAAACGGTCATAAGCTTTGCTCATGTCGAGCTTGATAACAGCTAGACCCACCTCTCCGGACTCATTCTTTCGGATGAATTCTGTCACTTCATGTGCAAGTAACACATTCTCACTCATAGAACGATCAGGCACAAATCCATTCTGTGTTTCCGCAACCAAATTATTCAGGACCCTCTTAAGGCGATTTGCCAAAACGTTAGCTAGCCACAATTTTATACTTAACATTACATAGGCTAATGAGACGAAAATTAGCGGGCCGTATGGGATTTTTTGACTTGGGGATGAATATTACCAGTGTTTGATTCCAAGCGGGATACCAAGTGTCTCCTTGTAAGCAACCTAAAATGCATTGGATCAAATCTCCGAACAATTCCCCAAAAATCCTGCTGGAACTCCATCAAGACCAGGCGCCTTCCACGGCGCCATCTCGAAAAGAGCTTTTTCGATTTCCTCTGCTGTATAATGTGCATTCAGATCTCTTTCTGGAGCAGAAGTAAGCTGTAAGGACACTTTTTCACAAATGCTGTCAGCGTCACGCAAATCGTCAATCTGCGGTGGGTAGTTATCTGGAAGAGTAAGGATTTGTTTAAAGTGAGATATCATCATTTGTGAGAGGTCAGAGGATTGAGAATGCCATATTCCGCCATCATCTTGCAACTTGGTCACCCAATTTTGATTCTTCCGCTTGGTGGTGGCCCACTGATGAAATATTTGGTGTACCGCTCGCCTTTAACCTGCCATCTTATCTTTGCTCGTTGTGCCCAATAGTCAGATTGTAGCTCTAAAAGTTGTTCCACCTCAGCTCGTTTGGCTCACTCTTCTGTATCATGAGTCAAGAGGTCCCGAGATTGTTGTAGTTCCTCAAGTTTCGTAGTCTTTCGTCTAATGAGGTTATCAAGCTTCCCATAAGTGTTATTACACCAGGCTTTTAAGTGCATCAAGCTAGCCTTACATTTGGCAGACAAAGTATCAGAATTAACATCTGGATGCAAGTCAGGACTCTCCCATGTCAACAATCCGCCTAGCAGCCTCAATGCGAGCCCAAAAAGCTTCAAATTGCAAATGCCTATGCTTCAGTCGGGGCACGAACCTGGTATATATCTACCTGGACAGGACTGTGGTCTGAGACCATTATAGGAAGATTCCGAGCCGAGGCCTTAGGGAATTTCCGTAACCAGCAATCAGTGAAAAACACGATCTAGGCGCTCTAAGATGCGATGCTCCCCAAGTCTATTATTAGACCATGTAAACCAGTTTCCAATCGAAAGCAACTCAAAAAGACCACAATCATCAAGTAGGGATTTAAGTGCAGTAGGCTGGTTCACATCGTCTCTGTTGCCTCCCCATTTGTCTGACTGCTCAATAACTTGATTAAAGTCTCCGATTATCATGCAAGGGTGCTGATGGCATATAGGCAAATTTCTGATTTGACTCCAAACTTCATCTCTATGGGCTTTATGAGGGTGACCATACAGAAAGACAGTGTACCAAATAAAGCCATTCGACTCAGAGATCTATAGTATATACTAAGATAGAAATCAGAGAGAGATTTTGAAAAGAGTTTTTTACGTCGCCATGTAGGATAAAATCCTAGGTGGCAATTTCTTAAAATTTAGAGAAAAAAAAAGTTTCAACATTTAGCTAATAGCCCCTAAAACAATCAGTTATAGCATATTAGCACATTCACCATCTATCTATAGTATTATACTAAGACAGAAACCAGAGAGAGAAAAAAAAGATTTTTAAAGGTCCCACATAAGATAAAATCTTATGTGTCATTTTCTTAATGCATTTCTCAAAAAATATATTACATAATTATACTAACAGTCCTTCAAATTTCATGTAATCAAAAGTTTAACCAATCGCATTTAAAACCTAAATTCAAAATGAGAAAATAGAAAATTAAATCCCATAAGATTAGATCAACTTTAAATCTAGAGTAATGACTATTAATTCATTTGGAACTTTTACCCCGTCAACTATAAATTTTTTTTTTTAAAAAAAACAATTTTACCCTAAAATAATCGATATTAATTAATGGGGAGAGTAATCAACATCAATGTTTGTCTGGTATTTTCCCAAAAAAAAAAAAATCCAAGATTACGTATGAGTGAACAAGAGTAATCAATATTAATGCACTTGATTATTTTACCTGGCCAACTTGAAAACAATTCCAAAAAAAAAACCAGAAACTTTTTTCCCCCAAAATTACAGTGTGTCATTAATAAATATAAATAATCAGTCCCAAAACCCAACTTGCAAACAATTTTTCAAAAAAAAAATCTTTCCCAAAATTACATGTGTGATATGCTCATTAATAAATAAATAATAATCCGCCCCCAAAATCCCAGTACTTATCAACGTGTATGTGCTCAATCACCGTGTATCTTCCACAAAAACTAAAGAAATACCCTAATCACCTTATTCGCAAATTATAAAGCTTACCCCTGCTTGAAAAACGCCATACTACTCTGATTGATCTCTTCTCCGTAAACCCCAAGAGCCGGAGGGCCAAAATCAAGAGCACATGTTTTTCACAACCGGACTAATGTCTTTTCACCTCTTTGATCAATCTCTTCTCTATAAACCCTAAACACCAACCCGTGAACAAGCATCAGGAAAGCATGATAGTGGTTCAGAAAACAAATCAATCGGTGACATGAGTCATGCTACTGGGATTTACACTGGCTTCAGATGCGGCCCTTGCAAACTAAAGTGCGCGGCTCTATCACCAATGTAAGTTACATGCATATTATCTAATTAATAGTGTATATAAGTTTGACATTCTATGCTTATAAATAACTATTCTATAAATATATGGGTTTAAGATAAATGTTCGGGTTATCGATTCAACCGGCTGAACCACATTTATCTTATGGGATAAGGATGTGAAGCACTTGATTACTAGGACATCACTTGAATTGAGGAGAAAACAAGCTGATATGTAGAAAGAGGTGACATAGCATACGTTTAAACTTGCTTTATACTTTTATCATTTGTTTATTGTTAACATACTCCATTCGGAAATGCAGAGTTCAAATGATGAAGATCTTTATGATTACCCGGTAAAAATCGATGCAATGCTTAATAAACAGCGGATGTTCAAACTTGACATATCGCCATACTATAATCCAAACATTTCAGTTGATATAAAGGTTGCAAAGATGACTAATGACCCCGACATAATCGGTGAGTTCATGGCCATTCATAAACAAGACATGGTAATGTTGTTGCATTGAGCTAATTGCATATCTATATCATTTATATGGTTATTTGAATGACAATATGTACCAATTTTTCCTCCGGTCTAGGTCAATATGCTATGTTACATGTCCTTAATTCAACTTGCAGGAAGTTGTATTTGATATGACGACTACGTTGAATGGGAATACAACGAGAGGGACAGAAGAATCTAAGGTATTAAAATTAGAATAATTTTATGTAAATGATAGCATCATGAGTAAGACATCACAAACGGTTTTTCGAAAAAAAAAAAACTTAATAAATTCTATTCATGTAATATAGAATATTGCATCTCAATCAGGAGATAATGACCATGTAAATGAAGATCTGGTCACTATTGCAAGGTAGTCCAGTTGATGAACAAAAGGTCAGAACTCAAGAATCTTCTCCCCAACGATGCAATCCGCAAATACTCGAAAAAGGAAGATAGTGCTTGATGATGTTGAGTAGCTAGAAAAATGTACGAAGTTCCTCGCATATTAAGCTTCTTTTTATTTAAAATAATCAAAACATTATTCATGTACATCTCAATGTCCAGTAATGATTCTATGAATGTACTTTTAAATTTTTAATTTTCGTACACCGTTTTTAAGTGTTTGAATTTTCCAATAGCTGCACTAAATACATTTCAAGTTCTTTTATTCAGTCAAGGACAAACATGACCCCTGATCCACATTGTTAAAGCACGCATAAAAGACATACTATCATTCAACTCAAAAGAATATAGCTAATTATTACTTACTAAATATAAACTATGGTTCCAGGATACTGAAGAGAAAATGTATACGCAGACAGTAACCGAATCATAAAAAAAATCCGGGCGATGAAGTTTATGTAGCTTTAAGCAAGATACATAAGATTGAGTTACAGGTGGAGAAAGTAAATATATCAACTTTATACGAAGTGAAAGTAACCTGAAACTTTTCATGTAAATTGTTTTGCACTTCATAGCTTCATATCTTGGACCAATTATAGGCTCTAACGGTGTAAAATTGGGTAAAAGTTCGAAAAGTATTTAATTTACTATGAATAAAAATACCCATAGACAAGAAAATGGTATGATCGATAACTGGGATTTATGTGCCAATGATTTTATATTACGGTAGGTTGAGATTAATAGCCGTGCAAATTTCAGAGGCCATGACATTTGCCCACGTAATAATTTGCCATTTCAGTGTTGCATTTATACAATGCCACGTCTTGTATGAAGAATTAGGTCCAAAGCAATAAAAGTGAAGATAATTTTATGGCCACTTCATCCCACATACGAAGTACTAATATTAATGGGGATTAATTTGGATACTCCACCCAAAACAATAAAACTCAAAAACCTTATCAACGTTAAATCATTTTCCTTATATTTTACTATAATTTCTATATATGAACAAACTTTTTTGACTACATTTAAACCCAATCTTGAGAATTACCACTCCTTATTATAATAATTGTTAATTGGGTCTCACCGGAAAGACATCAACTACATGATATGCTCATAATAAAAAGTAATCAATGCCGTCATCAACGTCAATTCATTTTCCTTTTAGTTCACCATAATTTCTATATCAAAAATCCTTATTGGCTACATATAAATCCAATCTTGAAAATAACCATTCCATTCCATATTATAATAATGCTAATTGGGTCTCACTGGAAAGACATCAACTACATAATTTGCTCATAATATATAAATTAATCAATGCCACTTACATCATAATATTTTTTAAAAAACAGAAAAATTGTTTGTCTATCATTTTCAATGAACCCCATATAAAGAACAAACATGTCCAAGTACATTTTTCCACATGTTCTATATTATCATTTGAACTCACTGAATAAGTGATTGTAGTTGATTGATTATTAGGGTTAATAATTAAATATTTACATTTTCATTTTCAGAAAATATTTCATGAATCTTCATATAATGACAGAATCAACATCTTTTTCCATAAATTAAAAATATTGCATTACCTTCTTTATGTAAACCTCTTTTGTGCGGAGAATGAAACACCCGATGGTTTAAACCACATCCTCAATTAGCACCATATTTCCCCTTTCCTCCGCCTTCGTCGCTCCTGGTCGGTTGTGCCTTCTCGCGGCAGGATTTCATGTCAACGGCGTCATCATCATCGCAAAAATATAAATAGTAAACCTGCTCATTTATTCATCGGAATGAAAATTAAATCTAAAATGTGAAACGTTTGGCTCTTATTTTGGATGTTCTAATGGGTTTCAGCAATATAGTGCCCAAACCAATTATTTGGCAAAGTGAATCTGGAGTTTTTTTTATTTCAACGATTAACTTTTCATAAGACATATTTACATATTTTGTTTTCACAAAAGGATAACAACATTAAAAAAATGTAAAATGCCACCCCAACTATTTAGTTCCTTTTGCATTTACCCCGTTATGTCATGTAAACTTTCTTACTTTAACTATTCAAGATTAATTTGTAATATGCGAATTAATATGAATAACCAGCCCAATTTCCCCAGTATGTTTTTATTGCATTTTCCCTATAATTACTTTATTCTTTACTCTATCCTCAATTAGTATTTAAAATTGTTGTAATATTTTGTTTTTTCCTATTTACAATTTCATGATATTTGCATTTCTATTATTTTAAAAAACAACAATAGTTACATTTTTCCATTTATATTTATTATGTTAATATTCATATTCAGCCATTATTACGCTTTTGTTTCACAATTTTTTTAAAACATGTAAACTATAAAAACTTATGCATAAAAAAAAAAAACTAGTTTAACAACTAGTTTTTACAAAAAAAAAATAAATAAATAAAATTAGTATTTTTACAAAGAACCTCGATATTTACACCAGAATTCCATCAAAAGACTAAACCACCCCGTAAGCCAACTGTCGGCACCACAAAGAAATTAGAGAAGGAAGAGGAGTCTAACCACTTTTCTGTTGCGGTCGTTGATAATTTGGTCTCCATAACAAACAACACATCTGGTCTGTAGTGCCTGTTCAGTCGCTTTAATAATTGAACTGTAGGTGCCCGTCTTAAGTCCCTGCAATTCCTTCCAGTTAAGGAGCTTCATGGGGACTCGGGTGGTTGATTTGGTTCGATGACTGCAAAACCTTCATTAATTGCATTGCAAATTGCATCCACAAAGGTACCATTCATTGCTTCAGATCGCCACCGCCGGACTTTAATCGCTTGCCTTCCTGCGTTTACGGATTCTACAAAATACAGCACTCCTTTTCTAACTTTATCCAAAATTCCGCATGTTTTTTCTTTGTTTTCTCAAGAGAGCTGGCTTACTTGCTCCACCGTTCTTAGCAATGGATTTGCTGATTAATCAATTCTAAACAAAGTGTTGCCGACAACATGAAGATTTTAGAGGAATGGAGTTTTTATATCAAAATAAAAGCAGGATTTGAAGAATCTAAAAAATTTTTGTATGATTTGATAATTCTAGAAAATTAATGTTGGCCATTTCCAAAAACAGAAGATCGTGTTTGCAATCATCATATTATATGAAAATATATGAACGCTCAAAATTATCTCATACTTTTTGTTAAAAAAAATAATCATATAGAAAAAGAACTATATATACCTAAAATTAAACAATAGGACAAACATAAATTTTAATTGGAATTGTGGGAGATATTTTTTTCCTTGTACTAATAAATGATTAAATTCTGTCCCAATCAAGTATCCAGCGGACGTGTATCTAATAGTACGGTGGCTTTGTGTTCTCTTTTGCACCACTTTCTCCTTGTCGAAAGATTTGCCCAATCATTCATCTTTATTTAACACGCACACACTGACACACACACACACACACACACACACACTCACTCACTCAAGAAGATAGTTCGAGAGGAAGCTTGCATGAAAAGATGAATTACTTCAACATACTTACAGTTACAGTTTCATTTACCGCTGTTTTGGGTTTTCTGGTTTGTGCATGGAAAGTATTGAATTTCATATGGTTTCAGCCCAGGAAACTCGAGAAGCAGCTCAGAGCACAGGGTCTTCTCGGAAATTCCTACAAACCCATCTCCGGTGACTTGAAAGAATTGGTAAAGTTGATGAAAGAAGCTAAATCCAAGCCAATCAGTCTCTCCGATGATATTGTGCCCCGAGTTATCCCTTTCTTCGTCCAGACCATCCAGAAATATGGTATTCTTTGATTCCACAATCTTTTTCATTTTCCTGTCCTCTGCTTCCAAGTGTTGCCTGAAAGCATGGAAAGATTGTGCTTTTACTGCTTAATTTACTTCAATAAAATTGACCCCTTTATCGACTGCTGGATTTGATTGAATTGGTGTTACCTGCAAGTGTGGCAAGATTGTACCTTTACTGCTTAATTTTCTTCAACAAAGTCGGCCCTTTTATGGATTGCTGGATTTGATTGAATTGTACAAGAAATTTATGCATTTCAGGTGTTAATTCATTTGTCTGGCTTGGCCCCAAACCTTCAGTCATCATCAAGGATCCTGAACTTATGAGGGAGATCTTGGTCAAGCCTAATATCTTCCAAAAGCCTCTTTCTAATAATCCACTTAGTAAACTGTTGGCTCAAGGCCTAGATGTAGCCGAGGGTGAAAAGTGGACCAAACACAGAAAGTTAATCAATCCTGCTTTTCACTTGGAGAAGATCAAGGTAGCTTTTTTATTATAATTATTATAATTATTACTAGTATGTGTCCCGCGCTTTGTCAATGTTGAAAATTTATCTTACAAAAGAATTAATTAGATAATGTAGTTATTAATATTTCTTAAAACCGTAAATTTTTTTTGATTAATCAATTTTAGATCAAAATGAGAAGTATTGATATTATTTATAAGATGTATATTTGTAAGATCTGTCCAAAAATATTACAATAAAAATTTTAAAAAGTTGTATAATAAAAATTGTCACTACTAACTAATGTTATGTTTCGATTAAAAAATATATTAAAAAATACATAAATTATGTCTAGATGCCTATGGCTTATTTATAGGCAAGGGGACTTTGGAGATTAGACACAATTAATCGTGCTTGAAAATGTAAAATCGATAAAATTGAAGACAAAGTAGCACATAAATAGAACTTTAAGAGCTAAAATGATAATAAGTTAAAAGTGATGCTTGATGGTCTCAATTAGCGACACGTGTCGATTATATTTCTTTCCTTTAATATATATAATAATGATTTTTTTTTTAATTTTTAGTTCCTTGTGAATTATTCACTCGGTCCCAAAATGACTCATTTTAATGTTTCACACAAAGGCGTGCTCTTTAAGTTTTTATGAAATTATTCAGGGATTTCTTATATTAAATCGTGTAGCTAATCAATTTTTTCATCTTAGTTTTTGATACTACAATAATTGATTA